GCATTATGGTAGGCGTGCATTTGATTTGAAATGAAATGACTACATAACACAACATTATTTTCGAATAATTATTTAATAGTTTGAGAATATTATTTCATACCATTTATCACTTGACATTTGGTACGTTATTTTCTAAAAATCTAACAAAAAACAATGAGTCCTACTTATTTAACTAATAAATATTAAGTTAGAGCACCATATCACATTATCCCTGAGCAACAAAAAAGAAAAAAAAAATATATATATATATATATTGTAAAACCTTAATCCTTTTCACAACTTAAGATAAAAGCAGCATATCTTTATAGGAAATGTTTGGAACCCCCTTTGGGATGACCCCCACACCCCTAAAGTGATCATGACCTTCCATGTATGTGTAGGGTCCACTCATGTATGTGTAGCGTCCATATCAAGAGTGGTTCAAATTTGTAGGGATCTTATAGAGATGGGCCCTCAATCATTACTAATTACAGAGAAACTGATGATTTCCAAAACCCAAGCAGCAATTATTCATCAATTGAATTAATCCAATCTGTACATGAATTTTCTAGTCTGCTATAAAAAAGGAGCAGTGTGATATACTCAGTATATCATATCATTATCGATTCAAGAGGGTAAAAGACATTACCCACACAAAGTAGCTTGCAACTTCCATTTGATTTATATATATGGCATCATTAAAAAATTTCTTTTGGTTTTTCTTCTTAGTTTCCGTCTCATATTTGCACACTGAAGCAGCCATGGATCGGTTTCCATCTCTGATCAATCTCACTAGTCTCCCAACCGATCATCCTCTTGCTCAGTTTGGTAAGCTTCACAATCCTATTGTTCATTTCTTTTCTTTTTTTTCCCCAACATATCAAAATACTAAAACTTAGAACAAAACTTATAAGATGGAGTAGGAAATCCCTACCTCGAAGAAAATAACCCGAATGGAGAAGACAGAGATAAATACCCAAATTCCAATGTGTTCCAAATCACCAAATGTTCTGATTAAATGGAAGCCTTCGACTCACTCTATCTTTTTAATAAAGGATCTAAGGTAGAAACTCACTCTAAGTAGATCAATCCTAAGAGAGAAGGTGTGTAGAGGGAGAGAGAACTCGTAACTAGGGTTTTGGAATCTGAAAGTGTATGAAAAACTTATCTGAAACACGCTGCTGCCTATATAAACCTGACAGGCTCGCTTGAGCGAAGACTTGGTCGCTCGAGCGACTAGACACACGAAAACCTAGCTCGAGCGAAGAAAATCTCGCTCGAGCCAAGAATGCAATGCTTCAGGTCTGCAACCCTGGAGCACGCTCGAGCGACAGAATGCTCGCTCGAGCAAGGAACTCGAAAACATACACCTCGCTCGCTCGAGCGAATAAGCACTGCCCTCAGGTCTATACCAGACGCAGTCGCTCGCTCGAGCGAAGCAAATCTGGATCGAGCCAGAAGACACAAAAGCAAACCTTGCTCGAGCGACCAACCCAAAAACTGGACAGCAACACTTGGTTTACGAACCCAACCAACCTGAAACAAACCTGCCCAACACATCCTATAACTCCAAATGAGAAAATAAAGGACGACAACAACAAATATACAATGACAGAATAAACGGAACCCAAGTCCGGATACAATAATCAAATTTATCACAGTTTGGAGTCACTATACTGATAAGTTTATTTTTTATAGTGTTTTGTTTACCCTGATAAATTTATCACTGTTTCAACAAATTTATCACTGTTAACACTGATAAATTTACCAATGTTCAAACGAAAAAACCAGTAACTTTCTCTCCCTCTCTCATTCTTTTTCCCCAATTCAAGTAAACAAAACACTATAAAAAATAATAAAAAATTTACCTAATTGAAAATTAAAACAAAAGCACTATTACATTGTCCAAATTGGAAATTAAAATACTGTTACAATTTGTGGATATTCCCAACTTTGAGAATGAATGTAAGAACATGCCATCCTTGGTGATTTCTGAATAATCAAAACCATTTGATACTTCAGTTAAACAGCTCAAACATCCAAAGCTAGCTTCTAAGTGACCACAAAACAGTATGCAGACTAAGAACTTGTTGCTAAACCAAATAAACATAGTAGTTGATTTAAAAAAAAAATCTTTTTAAAGCAGTTAACACAACAGATATGCAATTATGTATTCTAGAGATTTAATCTACACCTTTGTATTGTGGAAATTTTTTCTGGGAAAACTAGATAACTCCATACAATGATAAATTTATCACTGTAGAAAAGAACATTTGCTTGGATATGACAGTGATAAATTTATCAACCACTGACATAAATGTAATAAACCATCAACTCTTCCCACACAATAAGTGATAAATTTATCATTCTTCAAAATAACAAAATTCAAGAAACCACATTAATGGTACATTTATCATTCTTACAAAAAAATAATCCATCAACTTGTCCAAACCAACCAGTGATAAATTTATCACTTTATAAAACACCAAAAAACAGCAACTACATTTAACCCAAATCAAATAACATAAATATGTGAAACTTAATCCTGTAAAAATATCAGCAAAAAATATAATTTCTGATCAACAAATTCCTCAATCATTCAATGCGAGTATCAAAATGATACATCTTTCAAAAAATACTCAATCATTCAATGCAAGTAACACCTCTCAACTCTCAAACAAAGTAATTCAATTAAAATCAATACAACTAAAGCAAAGCATGTTTACATGTCTTCCGATTATGAGTTCCCATCTTTCCACACCTACTGCATCTAATTCTCTTGATTTCACCCTTAGAAGGTATTCTCTCCGTTCTTGGACGTCCAGCTGGTCTCTTACAAAGAGGAGGTAAAACAACGTCATCATCAACAACTACATTTGGCTTCCACATACTAGGAACTGGATAGATAGAATGTGAATAAGAATCACAATAACTACTAACACGGTAGTAATCATCAAGAAAGCAATTCAGATCCTTCTCGCTCCTCTTTATAGCACAAAAACCATGTTTGCAAGGAAAAGAATCAATTTCCCACAACCGACAAGAACAACAACGTTTCCCAATATCAACCATAACTGAATGATCCAATTGGATTTCATAAATGTCATCGCTACATTTCTTAACTATCCATGCTTTTGTATCATTAAAAGCTTCTTCCAACTTTTTCTCTGCAAAAGGACAAACAATACGATTCCACTTATTCCCAACTTCTCTCCTTCTCGAAAATTGCTCCATTAGTTTCATCCATATAGCATCAACAAGACTAGTTGAAAACAAATGGTGTTCATCCCTAATCCATGAATTAAAAGATTCCGCAGCATTTGTGCACATTTCACCATACCTCTTGCCTTGAAAATAAGCATTACACCTACACTCATTAGGCAAATCCTCAAGAAACCTCTCAACACTACGACCACAACGACCCTTAAATTCTTCAAATAGCTCATTAAACAACTCAATAGTAGGAGCATATGCACATCTACTAAAAAGAGTAAGCAAATACTCTTTTGATTCACGACTCTTCACGGACAAATAAGTCTTCAAGTTTGTCTTCAAATGCATTAGACAAAAAGAATGACAAGAAAATGGAAAGACCTCAGCTAAAGCTTTTAGCAAACCTCCATGTCGATCAGTAACAAATGCAATATCCCTCTCCAGAGTCAAAATACCTAATAACTTTGACAAGAACCAATGCCAACTGTTATAACTTTCACCATCAACAATCGCAAAACATAACGGATACAAATCTACAAACAAAATATATATATATATATACAAGTTATCAGTAACAAATTAAAAAGATTACAAAAAGAAAATCAAAACACAAAGTATATAACATATAGCACCAGCCATAGATAAATTTATCACTGTATAAATATAAAAATTTAACAAAAAGTATACAGCATAAATTTATCACTAATAGATTGACCATACTCAATTATCAGCACTCTCCAGTAACAAAAATGATAGAATTATCACTATTTCAATAATAATAACACATAAACACAAAATATACCTTGGTTACCATCTTTCGCCGTAGCAGCCAATAAACAACCTTTGTGTCTTCCTTTCAAAAAAGTTCCATCAAGCATCAACACAGGCCTACAATACTTGAAACCATGAATACATGCCTCAAAAGCGAAAAACAAGCATTTGAAATGTCTTCCTTTACTATCAATATCAAATTCCATATCAAAAACACTTCCCAGATTGTAAGCATTAGCGGCATCAACATACCAACGAAGATCGTCAAATGATGATGAATAGTCACCAAAAACAAGACCGCTTGCTTTTTCAACACCCATCCAAGCTCGCCGATAAGAAACTTATGTTCCATAATAGTCCTTGAAATCACAAACCACCTCACTAACCGATGTCAAAGCCTTGTTACGAATATCACTAGAAATTAGCCCACCAATCATACTTGAAGTCATCCTAGCATGGTTAATTGTACGAAAAGAAGATCCACAAGTATGAACATCATCAAATTGTTTAATAACAAAAGCTTTACTATAATTTTCCACTCTAGCATGCACGCTCCATAAACATTCCAAATCAGCCCTTCTCTTACAATGAACAATGGCACGATCCTTATCATTCTTAACAAAATCAAAATTAAAACCGGAATGAATAGAATACTTTGACAACGCATCTCGAAATTCAACAACTCCTTGAGCAAACCTTTGTCCCACTCCTTTCATACAATTAACCCACTCATCGGAGAGCAAAGGTAAGGCAAAAAATCAGTTTCACAAACAACACTACTAATACTACTACTACTACTAGCTTCATCATCACAAATCATATAACCTTCACCCAAAGAACAACACTTTACAAAAATATCAATACAATGAATATCACAAGAAAGTGCCAGTCCAACCATAACCTCCAAATCCTCTTCACTTTCTAGACCACAAGAAGAATGTCCAACCATTGAATACGATATATTCAAAGAACTACCAACTAACTCACTCCACTTTGCACACAATTTATATACTAAATCCTTGAAATTAAATCCATCATTATACTTGATAACCAATGTTACACCTATAAACTTGCACATAAGAAACAAACGATTCTCCATCACTATAAATCCTGCAACAAACAACAATTACATTTCAGAAAACAACTCAAACACCCTAAAACAAAATCAAATGCAGTGATAAAATTATCTCCTATTCCCATACTCACTCATAAATTTATCACTATTGAAAAAGTTAATCCAACATCACCCCCAAAATACGCAGTGATAAAATTATCATTGTATAAAATAACAAACCAACACCTGTGTTCAATCAACACAATTTCGTAACCAAAAAAAATAAAAATCTAAAATTCAATCAACAAATACATATCTCAAAACTTTCAATATCATGATCAAAACACAAATTCAATCGCAACAGAAACAACAGAGTAACAACAATATCACCACAAAATCAAAATCACCAACTCAAACTAAAAAGAACCAAAACATTGAAATTGAAATCAAAATCAAACATACCAGTCGACCTAACTCCACAACACCACAAATCAGAAAATGTAGCTATACACCAAACGCGAAATCGCAAATAGGAAGAATCATCAAACACGCAATCGCAAATCACAAATCGCGAAGATACACCAAGCGCGAAATCAGAAATCACGAAGCTCCACAAATCGCGCAATCAGAAATCACGAAGCTCCACAAATCGCGAAGATACAACAGCAAATCATGAAGTTCCATAGAAATCCAAATCACAAACACAATATTTTGATGGAAAATCCAAACAGAAACGCGCCAGAACAGAAGAGGGGTAAAACGGTACAAAAAAAAAAGTCTCAGGACCTGTTGCTGCACAAGATCAAAAGTCAGGACTAAGAGGGAAATAAGTGAAAAACTCAGGACCGGCTAGTAAAAAACCCAAAAAGTTAAATTAGCTAGCTATTTTGCCTAACAAGTCTCATTTGAAAAGCTCATTAGAGCAACTCCAACCACACTCTCTGCTTTTCACTAGTTAAAGTACAAAAAAAGTACACTCTTTATTTTACCTAATTACTTTAGCTATTGTGTTTTCCAACCACACTCTTTATTTTAGTTAATCATTAAAGTTAATTAATTTTTAAAACAAAAGATACTAATTACTGATATTTTATTAATGTAAATTTGCCCATACAAACATACAAAACCTGTAGAATGAGGAGAAAAAAATACAAAATATAAAATAAGTTATTCTGTAATTCATCAAACATAATTGAAAGAATATATAAAATTGTTACATAGACATATACATATATAAAATATATAAAATCCCAAATCCAAGATATATATATATATACATATTTGTTTGGAGAGCCTCTAGGGCTCTTCAATTGTAACCATCAAAAAGATAGGATGGTAAAGTAGTTAACCCAATAGCCAGCCCATTGGAGTCCAAAATTAGAGTTACATTGACTAAAATGCCTAACAAGTTTTTTTTAACTATCCTAATCATGTGCATAGCATGTGTTAGATAGTGTATCATATAAATAGTTGAGTATCACATCATTTGTAACTAACTTGGATATATTGAAATTGAATGGAATAGAGAATTTCTTTCTCTAAGTTCCTCTCTCTCTAGTTCTTGATTGACCCATCATATTTTGGTATCAGAGCATCAAGATTTAGATCCAAACCTACTGATTATCACAAACCATTACCTCAAAATTAGCTTGATCTTCGAAACCTCAATCTGAGTCAGATTCATGAATTGATCTCTGGAATCGTCATTATAGATCGAATTGAAGCCCTAATTTGATTGGCAATTTTGAAACTGGTTCATTTTTGTTTCAAATGGAATTGCAATTGAAGTTAGCTCTCGGAAACGAATGTCGCAGAACCTGAGTTCATTCAGAAACTAAGATCGATATCTAGTCCAGATTTCAATCCACCATCACGATTCATAGCTTTCAATCCATCATCACGATTCACCATCGTGATTCGAGTTGTGGGTTTGACTCTGAATTTGGCTTCGCTGATTCACTATTGATCAAGCGCTGGAACTTTCGATTCAAGTTCGCTAATTGAATCTTCGCCTGGGTTCTTCGCTGGGAGTCATCTCAAGAACCTTGGTGGGCAGATCAATTTCGATTTGACATCCATACAATCAATTTCGTGATTCAATCTAGTGCCATAGTGCGACTTCTTGGATTCAAGGCTTCAAAGCTCATTGTGACTTGCGACTGGGATGCTTTTGAGTTTGGGACCTCGATTCTTAATCTGTAATTCTGTACTCTAGTTTTACACAGGTATTTTCAATCTTTGTTTCAATTCGTGGACTGTTCAAATTCTGTATATAGATTGGATTACTGTTTGAATCAATTCTTGATATTATAGTCTTGTTGATTCTTGAATATTTGAGACTTTACATTTCTGTGAGTTGATAGTTACACTGAGTTATCCTAATCTGTGAATTGGGTTTGGCATTGAACTATTCGAAATCTGTATATCTAGACTATTTTGGGAACATATTAGGTTGTTATGGCTAATCGGGGTCGAGGTCCTAGGGGTGGTCGTGGTAGGGCTTATGTCCCGAATTTGGGTGATCATGATGGGGGTAATGGGATTCCGTATCCAAGAGATGAGATGGCCGAGATGAGACGACAAATTGCCGCGTTAACCGAGACGGTGCAACATCTCCTACCTCCTACCGGGGGTAGTGATGGTTCTGATGGAGGAACATCCCCATCCTTATCCTCTATCTTGGTTCAAGAAAGACAATGAGATCAAGGTTACCAAACGGTGCTTGGTTTCATTTTCTATCCGGAAAAAATATTTTGATGAGGCATGGTGTGATATAGTGCCTATGGATGCTTGTCACATTCTACTTGGGCGACCTTGGCAATATAACTAGCAATCTTTGCATGATGGCAAATGGAACACGTATTCTGTTGTCAAGAATGATATCCAGTTTACCTTGCCTCCAATAAAGGAAAAGGTTACTTCCAAAGATGTTTCCAAGTCATCTCCTAGTGCCACTACGTTGCTTGCTTCCAAAGAGTTTGTGGAAGAGATTTGGGATTTTGGGATTGTATTGGTGTTGGTTCCGGTTGTACACACGGGTGCTTCTAAACAAAAGGTTGAGGTGGCTACTCTTTGGAAGAGTATTCTGATGTCTTTCCCCAAGAACTTCCTCCCGATTTGCCTCCTATGCATGACATTCAACATCGTATTGATTTGGTACCTGGGTCGGCACTTCCAAACAAACCGACCTATCACATGTCTCCAAAAGAGAAAGAGGAGTTACAACGGCAAGTAGAAGAGCTTTTGACTAAAGGGTATATCCGGCCTAGCCTTAGCCCTTGTGGTGTTCCGGCGCTTTTGACACCTAAGAAGGATGGCTCTTGGCGTATGTGTGTGGATAGTCGTGCCATCAACAAGATTATAATCAAGTACTGCTTTCTAACTCCAAGATTGGATGATATGTTGGATTGCCTTGCCAAATTAAAGGTGTTTTCTAAGATTGATCTTAGAAGCGGGTATCATCAAATCTGCATCAAGCCCGATGATGACTGGAAAATGGCCTTTAAAACGCCTCATGGCCTATTTGAGTGGCTTGTGATGCCATTTAGGCTTACCAATGCTTCGAGTACTTTTATGAAAGTGATGACACAAATGTTGCAACCACTTTTGGGAGTGTGTGTCGTGGTCTACTTTGATGATATCTTGATCTATAGTTGAAGTTTGGAAGAGCATTTGTGCCACCTTTGGCAAGTCTTTGAACTTTTGAGGCGAGACAAATTCTATGGCAACGCTAAGAAGTGCACCTTTGCCATGGACCAAGTCATCTTCTTGGGATATGTTGTGTCTTCCTGTGGGGCGCTTATGGATGTGGAGAAGGTCAAAACAATTGTGGAATGACCCACTCCTTCTAGTATCCAAGAAGTACGGAGTTTTCATGGATTAGCTACTTTCTATAGGCAATTTATCCGCAACTTTAGTAGCATCGCTGCCCCTTTGACCAAGATTCTCAAGCTTCAAGCTTTTGCATGGAGCAAGGAAGCCGCCGAGGCTCCAATTTTGGCATTACTGGATTTTGCCAAGACCTTTAAACTTGATTGTGATGCATCGGGGTTGGGTATTGGAGGCGTCCTTAGCCAAGAAGGGCGACCCATTGCTTTCTTTAGTGAAAAGTTAAATGGGGCTAAGCTCAAGTATTTCACTTATGACTTGGAATTTTATGCCATTATCCAAGCCATCAAGCATTGGAGCTATTATCTTGCATACAAGGAGTTTGTGCTCAACACCGATCATGAAGCTCTCAAGTACATCAATAGTCAATCCCATCTT